CCCCCCCTGCCACTGGAGATTCCCTGGGGCTCTCTGGCCAACACTCCCCTGCCATTGCCTGGCCATCCTTTCAACGGGGATTCCCCAGCCCCACCTGGCCCTGCTGATGCGTGATTGGGGGATGGGGTTTCCCATGCCAGGGTGCCCGGCCATCGCTGCCCACTGCCACCAAGTGTTTCCTGAGGTTTCCTGACTGGGGCCATCAGCCCCCATGCTGGGGCCAGTCCTGCTCCTGCTGGTGGTTCCCTGACCCAAGGCTCTGCAGCTGCCACCAGGCCTGGCTAATACCAGGGATTCCCTGGCCAGGAGTCTCCATTGTCTGCCTGGCCCCACTGATGCCAGGTTCCTCAGCTGGGACCAGGGCTTCCTAGCCACTGCCTGGCTCAGAAGCTGCTGACCCAGCCAGCGCCCCCCAGCCCTACGTTCTCCTGGCTGGCTCCAGCTCCTGGCCTCTGGGGCTCTTCATTCCAGCAACATCTGTGGCCCTACTGGGCCATGGATGTTACTGGACAAGAGTCCTGGATTTGGGGGATTCAACCTGTAATAAATAAATAGTCACTTATTTTTACTCAAACTTTAAAAAAAAATGTGTCTATTAAAAAAAGAGCAGGCTTAAAATCTACATGTGTAAATAGGCTGAATAAAAACCATGAATGCAGTTTTTCTAGATTTGCTACATTTATCTTTATGCAGAATAAAAGTAAGTTTTAGGAAACAGTTACCTGTACACAATATTTATGGAGTGCAAGTAGCCCAATGCACTGGCTATTTCAGCAGCATAAAATCTGGCTCTGTGTTCTGGAAAGGAGCGTTCTCTTTGTAAGTGAAAGAACAGCTGCAAATATACAAGAGATGGAAATGATAAGACAAACTGGCATAAAGTATCAAAGTTACAAGGCTTCATTCTTTACAGGAACATGCAAGTCATTTTCAGTTAGCTATCAAAATTGTTAAACAATTATTTTCCTTTTACAGAACCATTTATGCCCTCCCATCCTGTTCTCACTTGTGTTATACCAGTAGCACTTGGAATACAAAGAGTTAATATATATGAGTACAGGATATTTTCCAGAAAGTCAAGTCCAGCTAATATAAATGATTATACTGATGACAAAGGCTGGCTGGGAAGTATCCTGTAGGCTGATCTCTAGCCTCTTATTTTGGAAGATAATAGCATTATACTAAATTGACAATTTGAGCACGCTTCAGTACAAGTAACTGAAATACTCTCAATGGTCAAATTAGTATTTATTGCGTATTATTATTTTATTACAAGTACTTGCATAACAGTGATATGATATTACATTACACTCTATTCAGGGACGAGTTGTATATTATGAGGCTATATTTGTCAATGCTATAAGTTACTTGGTACAGGTGGATATCCTGGATGCACAAGCTTCTATTAATGTCTGCACAAGTGCAGGAGTCTATCACATATTGTAGGGATGGAGACTACATTGCCATGCACAAACTAAAAATGTTTAGAAAGAAAATATTTCTGTAGTCAAATACTGTACTCTGTTTGAAATGAATAAGCAGTAAGCAAAATTCTAAGCATTCCAACTTCATTGCAAGGAAAAAAGTTTTGTATTTTATTTATTTCTATTAGTTTTGGTGGCAGATTTGCATACGTCTTATTGAAATTAAGTTGCCGAACAGAGTTCAGAATACAGCACTGTGGTAGGTTAAGGTGGGGGAACAGGAGACCACGGAGGCCACAACTTTATTTAAAATATCTGGGAGCACCCAGCAACAAGTTGTATAGTGCAGGCTGTCTTCCTTTCTCTTGACCATTTCCAAATAATCCTCACCCACATGCAGCTGGGACGCTGCCATACTCCCCTTGCATAAGAACAAAGGGGGCTATAGAAGGAGAGAGGGGTCAACTCACTTCTGTAGAAGACATGGGAGTCCCAAGGTCCTTTTATTCAGCTCCATTAAGGGAGGATTTCCTTTAAATCCTCTTCCAAACCATTTTATCTGAAAATTACATCCCTTCCACACTGAGTAGCTGCACAGGGCAGACACCTGCCACAAGTTTTACATATTAAGTTATGACATTATCACCTAACTCCCCAACTCATCACACCTGGTCCTAAGACTGGGGAGAAATGTGAAAAAATGCATCCTACCTTGGTTACTCTGGTGTAGAGGGAAAAACTCCCCCAAAATAAAGGGAGTCATTTCCATTGCAAGCCAAAGAGGAACCCAGTTCTTTTGCCAAGTTCATGAGTGGTGGGTGCTACCAGCCCAGTCCTGGTTAAAAATGGCCTCTCAGAGGATGCATAGGGTATAAATCCATCCCCTGCTGTTCCAGTCATGCAGGAAGCGCAGTGCAGTGACCTTCTCCTGATCTGGGCCCAACTGCTTCCTGCCCTTCTTGTCAGCTTTTGCCCTTCAAAATGTCACAATACTGACTTGGAATCCTGCCACAAGTCCAACGATAGCACGAACGATAGAGCTCGTTACCAGGACTGCTCGGTCTAGGGAATGCCTGCTAGGAATGTGAACCCAGCCAACCACATTTGCAGAGGCCTCAGATGAAATTGGGCATGTCTGAGCATGTACATGCCCACAGCCATGCGACCCTACAGTCATAAATACATGTTGGCCAAAGTGACCAGGTGGGTTTTATGTGGGAAATTAAGTCTGCCATGGCCTGAAAATGTGCTTCAGGAATGAAAGCCCTGGCCTGTGACATGGGCTGAGCTGGGTGCCGAGAGCATATTAAAGAATGTATCTGTTGGCGTCTCCATCACCTCTGCTTTGAAGCCCAAGTTCAAATCCACCCTACAGAGCAGCTCCCAATACTCCTTGAAATCGTTCAGTGGGCTAGCTCTGGAGAGACCCATCGCCACTTCACCTGGAGAAGGAGAAGAAGGATGATTGCCCCACTGAAAGAGGGGCAGCCTTGGGGTGGGTACTGGTCCTCACCCACAACTGGCACTAAAACATCAAGTATTAAAATATCCTGCACTAAACCTGGTGCTGCAGGTGCGGCCTTCCTCCAGCCCTTGGTTGCCAAATTGGACAGGGTGGAGTGAGACAACAATGTAACAGGAACCCCCCAGTCATTCCAGTAAGGCCATAGGGCTGGCCACTGGATCTACTGCAGGCTGGCACTGATGCTGTAGATTTGCCTGAGGAGCCCAGTCCCACTACTGTCTGGGAGAGGGGCTGAATGGTCCTCTGATCTAGAGAAGTCATTGCCCTCTGGTGACCAAAACAGGGCCCTTGAGGCTTGGGTCTGGCAGCTGTCACCACCAGTGACTGGTGTCAGGAGTGTTCTGACTGATGCCAGAAGTAGGGAGAGCAGTGCTGTGTTGGGAAGTGGCTTTGAGGTCTCCGTGCTGGCAATCGATAATGTGACAAGGACCGGTGCTGGGGAGATAGCTCATCCAGGTGTATACTTTGGCATGGAAACATGGATAGGGAGTGCAGTACTGATGACTGGTAACAGCAGGCCAGAGACCTTGCCCAGCATGGAGACCAAGAATATGACAACCTAGGGCTTGGTCCTGGATCCAGAGACTTGTGGTGCTCGCTCATTTTGTGAGAGGCCTTGCTGGCAGGCTTGCTCTCATGGGGAGCCTTAGCCAGTTTCATTGCCAAATGTGGCATCGGCCTTGGCAAGAACTCTCCTAGTTCTGCATGCACAAAAGCTGAGCAGGTGTAAACTGCCCTGCTGACTTGGACCTCGTCCTGCTCTTCAGAGTCAGTAGCAGATCTTTTCTGGGGAAGGAATTCCCCTGAGCAGAGCCCCTGTGCAGATCCAAAGTAGGCGTAATACCTGAAAAGGATTCTTTGACCAGAGAGGCCAGGCTTGCTTGGTGTAGTCTTCTTTGGCACCAGTGATGGGATCAGTGCCAGAAGGAACTCAGTGCTGGGGGTGCACTATGCACTGAAGCTGAAATGCTGGGTGCTGTTTCTGGCCATGCTGGCTCCAAAGCTAGGTGCAGGGCAGCCTGTATCGGGAGGGCCCTGTGGCATGTGTCGCATTTTCTATGGGTCTGCGAACTAAAGTTCTTACAGATGTGACAACACTCCTTCAAGCAGGATTCCCCAAGGCACTACAGACAACTACTGTGTGAGTCATTAACATTCAAAGACCTCTTACATGTGGAGCAAGGCTTAAAACTGGGAAAGGGGAGCACTCCCTGCCTGGACCAAGAAGTCTTCACTGGGACCTTGACTGAACACTTAAATAGAACTATTTACAACTAGAAACACAAAGCTGGAGACAAGAAAAGGAACCGATGGCCACTTGTGAATCCAGAGACAGAGGCATTCTGATTGAGCACCCTGGGTGCTAAGAAGGAACTCAAGATGGCGTAGGGCTGGTGGCACCTGATATACTGGAGCATGAACACAGTGCTCCAGAGGGCACCACAGCCAGCTCTAAACATACAGCTAGGGCAAAAATCTCCAGTGATGGTGCTTGTGGGCGAGTTCACACCTACAATGGAATCAACATGAGCAAGCACTGGAAAAAGATTTGACAAGGTCAGGAAACTATTTCGTTTTGCTTTGTTTAAATTAAGATGGCCCAAAGCCCCCCAGAATTGTCAAGCAAAAAACCCCCAAAAAAACCAAACACACAACCTTAGGCTTTTTGGCCATATCTGGCTCCCGTCAACAGCCACCATCTTGGGCGCCATTTTGAATCACTGCCTTGAGCGACTTCGCAAGCCGCACTTTTGGGGGAGAAGAACTGCATGTTACTTACGAGCCACGGGTTGGCCACCCCGGTCTATACTGTAAGATGCATGAGTAGCTTATTTTTTTCCCCCCTGTCAAATGTACATTAGTTTGCCTCTGTCGACATGAAATTCAATTTGCCATTGTACTTGCTCATTCACTGAGCTTCTCTGGGTGTGTCTGATCATGATTATAATCGTGATCAGGATCATAAATAATCATCTAATCAGCAAGTTTTTCAACCTCACTTCCCACCACCCTCCAAATTATTATGTTGATCTATTCAGATCTAGAACAGAAACTTAGAGACACTCCACTACAAACGTTCTGACACAATACGAATGGTTGATTTTCACATGACTACTCCTAATCCTCTGGACAGATGCTATGCCATTATCATTTTTCCAGGTGTTTTGTAATTTCATTTGTAAATAGTAATTTCAAGGTAAAGACTTAAAGCTTACTGGTCCATATTTCCCCATATTAATTTAGAGCCTTTTAAAAATAGAATACTTGCTACCCTGCAATCCACTGGAGCAGTGGCAGTTAAGGAGATTGTGTACTTTAATTAGCAGCTCAGCCTATTCATAATTTCAAGGTAAAGACTTAAAGCTTACTGGTCCATATTTCCCCATATTAATTTAGAGCCTTTTAAAAATAGAATACTTGCTACCCTGCAATCCACTGGAGCAGTGGCAGTTAAGGAGATTGTGTACTTTAATTAGCAGCTCAGCCTATTCATACTTGAGCTTCTCCAGAACGCTTGGATGTGTGTTAACTGGGCCTAGCGACTTACTGTTTGTTTGTTAAATCAATTTACTCCAGCATCTCTTATTACAAATAAGAGAACATCCATCTCTTTTCTAAGTTCTTCCTCAACTTACTTGCAGTCTCATCAGCTTCAATGCTGGTACTCAGATAAAAAGGCTATTTTAGCAAGAAGTAACTATGGCATTTTAGGCTATGGTGTACAACCAGAAGCACAGTGATAGAAATGTAGCCGTGTTAGTCCTGTTTTTTTGTTTCAGCTACACCAGACTATGTAGTCTTTAAAGTGCTAACAAGATGGTTTATTAGGTGATGAGCTTTCGTGGGCCAGAGCCACTTCCTCAGATCAAATAGTGGAAGAAAATTGTCACAACCATATATACCAAAGGATACAATTTAAAAAAATGAACACATATGAACATAAGGGGTGTGGGGGGGGGGGGGAGGAAGGTAAATGTCTGCGAGCTAATGATATTAGAGGTGATAATTGGGGAAGCTATCTTTGTAATGGATAAGAATTAATGTCTTTGTTTAAACTTAGGTGTAAAGTGTCGAATTTTAAGCATGAATGACAGTTCAGAGGATTCTCTTTCAAGCGTGGTCTGAAAGGTCTTTGAAGCAGGATGCAGGTAATCAAGTTGTTGAGACAATGTCCTTTCTCGTTGAAATGGCAAGAAACTGTTTTTTCTTTGTGATCCTGTAGTTTCTTGCCATTTCAATGAGAAAGGACATTGTCTCAACGACTTAATTACTTGCATCCTGCTTCAAAGACCTTTTCAGACCATACTTGAAAGAGAATCCTCTGAACTGTCAATCATGCTTAAATTCGACACTTAACGCCTAAGTTTAAACAAAGACATTAATTATCTTACCCAAAGATAGCTTCCCCAATTATCACCTCTAATATCATTAGCTCACAGACATTTACGCCCCCCCTCCCCAATCCGCCTTCTGTTCTGAAATTTGATCTGTCCTTTTCATGTGTGTTTGTATCCTTTGGTATATATGGTTGTGACAATTTTCTTCCACTATTGATCTGAGGAAGTGGGCCACGGCCATGAAAGCTCATCACCTAATAAACCATCTTGTTAGTCTTTAAAGTGCTACATAGTCCTGTTTTTTTGTTTCAGCCAGAAGCACAGTAATCGTAAAGAAAGAAATTAAATTATCTAAGTCTGCTCCTCCTCTTACACCCCTACCACCCTCCCAAAAAAAAACCAGACACCCTCTTTCTCCTGTTTGTAGATCCTGGCATCTAGGCTCTTGTTTATGTCACAGAAAAGGAAGAAATACCTTTAAGTGCTGAAGGAAACATCAGTATTCAGTGAATTCCTATTGGAGGTATATTTCATTTACAGCCATGTCCAATACAATGGGTATATAAGGCCAGTGAAATATGTGCATTAAAATGGTGTATTCAGGTTTATATTGAGTTTAATAAAAATCAGTTTGATAAGAAAGAAACTCTACACTTGCTCAGGTTTATATTGAGTTTAATAAAAATCGGTTTGATAAGAAAGAAAGAAATTCTACACTTGTGGCAAAGAAGTTTTTGAATGCAAGTCTACAGCAAATTCTTAAACTGTAATTAGCAGGTAAAGTCAACAGAATTTTAAATTACTTACAGAAATATTAAAATGAGCACATTTCACAGTGGATTTTTTTTTCTGTAAAATTAGCTGAAGAGGAGACAAAAACCTCAATTATGAAAACTACTTACCTCCCCTCCATTAACAAAATCCAGAACAAAGTAAAGCTTTTCTGTTGTTTGGAATGAGTAATGTAATCCAACCAAAAATGGATGTTTCACATTTTTCAACAGTACATTACGTTCAGCCATAATATGTTTTTGCTGCAAGGAAGTGAAAGGTCAATAAGTAAATAGGAACAATTTTGTAATTGAAGAGGAAAAGAAAAATGTATTTCCTCTCACCTCCTTCCTGTTGAGAACAACTTTTTTCTGCAGTACTTTGACAGCATAAAATTTCCCATCCAGTTTTCGTTTTGCAAGAACCACCTGTGAAATTTAAGAGGAGAGGAGATATGGTTAGCATACATTCTCATTCTGAAATTTCAGAGTAATTGAAGAATACTGGAGAAACATGGTTAAAAAGATCAATACAGTTACTTCACTGTACAATTTCTTGGCCACTGAAGCAGTCATAATTATTACTAGTGTAATCAGTAACAGGAGACTGTTACTAGAATTTGGAGTCTGAGATCTTTCACAGTTTCTGCTGAACTGTAATGTCACTATGGAGAACTCACGCAAAGCCAAGGTATGGCATAGGCACTACAGGTCCATGACTAGGGCCCCAACTCCTGGAGTCACATGATGAGTGTTGAATCTTGGCTCTTTTTAAAATATACATATATTTTATGGTCTTGTGGAGTCTTTATGGTTGTGGAGAAGAGTTTGGAAATATAAGTGAAGAATTTCAAACACTAGTGCCAAAATGGGTGAACTGCTCCATCTATCCATTTGTTTTGCCACAAAGATCAACTGCTCTGGGGAGCCCAGCCAAACACCACCCTAAGAGAGCTGGGTGTGTAGCAAGAAGAGTTGAGTAAGCCCAGTGTACCCGCCCAGCAGATAACACAGCAGCAGGCGGTGCCTCCCTGCTGCTACCCTTTCCCCTTCCCTTGTGGGGAAGAGGAGACTCCCCCTACTGCTCCAATGATAAGAATCTTATTGCTGCTCTGGGCCATGAGTTGAGGGGTTCTCATGCCACAACTACTTCAGGTGGAAAGGACAGTGACTTGGCATGGAAGTGGGGCTGTAAGGTTGGAGCCACAGAGGGCCCCAGGTTGCCTCAATCCAGACCCGAATTTGTACTATTTCCCCATATTCACCAAATCTAGTGCCACTGTGAAATTAAATAAGGATGAAAAACGGTAAGAAAGCTGACCTTGCCAAAGCTGCCTTTTCCAATAACTTTCAGGAAGTCGAAGTCCGTTGGCTTAGCGCTGAAAGTGATTCAGAAATGAAGAAGGTTACTTGGAGAAGAAAATATCTTTACAATTTTACATAGTCCTCCGCAGTATATTTAAACAAGTGCTTGCACTGCAAGTGAAAAGTGCTGATTTGAGCCACTATTTCCCTGCATACCATGGCCTACTAAGGGCTGCTAGTAGCTTGAAGGCTCTCTGTTTCCATCTCCTCTTTTAGGGCCCACAATCAAACCCTTCCCTATTTTCACTTCCTATTTTCTGCCAGAGAAATATGATGCAAGCGTCTGTTAGAATTTAAACAAAACAAAACTGACAAAACAGACTCAGCTTGAAGATTATTTCCCACACTTCTCTGCTCTTTGTTCTTTTCTCCTTCTTTCCCCATCTTTCAAGTTCATTCTAGTAGACTTTTTTGTGTAAAAAAAAAAAGTCTAAATCTCCCCCATCTCCCCCTCTTGGGCACAATCTGCTTGAAAAAGGATGTTTGACTCTTAAGGAAGTACATTCCTTGTTCTGCCTCCATTCTCAAATCTCAGTTCTCCCTTCCCCCCCATCCTTCCCCATTCTGTTCTTTGCATCCAATTTTTTGGCATTTCTTCTTCCTTTGTCTCATTCTATACTTTGCCTCACCACTGGTCTTCTATCTTTCCTAGCTGAGTTTTTGATATCACAGTTTTTTCGTCCTATTCTTTGATAACCCATTTAATATGCCATGATCAATATAACTTTTTAAATCTGAAATTGCCCATCCTACTTTTTTTTCCCCCTTAGAACTCCCTCTCTCCCCCTTCCTTCTTTCTGGGAGGCACATGTATTCAGAGGCACTGGCATTCAGATGCTGCTCCATCTCTTGGCCTTCCAACCTTTCTTTTTCACATGGCTCCTGCCCTTCAATTCCACAATAAACTTACAGGGACTACCATCCGCTCTCTTTTTGTTTCCCTTTTATCAACTGCACTACCAAAAAGTATTTGGGGCACAGTATATAAACCTCACTCTGAGTGGCATAGTACAAGCAAGAAGGAGACAGACCAACACAGGGAGAAAAGGCAAAAAGGATGAGGGAGGTGGGAGATGAATCAGCAGTTGGAATGGAAGCCGCATAGAATATGTCTGAAGGAGAGGACAGAAGTATTGACTGCATGAACCAGTTTGTCACTTCAATGCTGTAATTATAGTTTAGAAGTTTGACATTAACGCAAGTTCACACCAACAGAAAATAGGCTTATTTGGTTGACTAGTTTTCATCTTCATAGAATCTGTTTTTCTTGAGTAATGAAACAGTCCTTTTGCTCTCTAGACTAAGAGAGGCTGGAAACAATGCTTAGTGTTTTTCCCCTCTGAGAAGTCAAGGCTCCAAACCAAATTCTTCTAGTGAAGGAAGAATGGAAAAACAACAATTGCAAATGAGGACCTCACAAATGGAAAGACAGGGAGACAATTTGGCTCTTCAGGGCTGTGTGAATGTTATGGACAAATTCTGTCCCCTCAACTCTTCCCTCAGTTATATAATAAGGGGATGGAACAAACTGCAGTTCTGGACAAGCTCTGGGATTTGATGACTTCAAGAACTTTCTTCATTGGGATATATTTTAAAACTGTTGCATGGAATTCCAAGGAACAACAGTCAACTTGCCTGCATATCATTTGTGCCACCCCTGTTTGAAACTTAGTTGGTTAAAAAAAATCCATTAGATAAGATAATGGCATGGAAGGGGAGACTAGAAAGGAAAAAAAAAATCCGTAAAGGAGTCTCTCTCTTCTGGATCTCAGCAACCCTGCTAGTAGCTCTGAGGTGAAAAGAGGGAGGCACTTCATTGCACATTTTAAAAATAAACCTTAGAATAGTCATATATTCCTTCAATTTTGTATATGGAAGTTATTTATATAGACATTAGTACACATCTCACATTTGTTTGGAGTACATTGCTGGTAAAGAATCTGCTGACCAGCTATGTGGGGGAAAAAAAAAAAAAAAAAAAAATCACACTGCATGCAACTAATTTGCATGATGGTATTTACTTAATTCTAAATTAGAACCTTTGCTTCATCTCAAGTTGCACAAAGTAGCAAACAAAGGCACGTATCTGGAGATCATTTCATATACTTAACAATTAAAGTCTAACTTTTAGTTTATATTTAACTAAAACCTACTGAGGATTTCCAGATGGTCCCAGGTTGATATTTTGTGAGGTAGAGTTTAGCTGTAGGGGGAGAAAAAAAAAGTAAGCCTCAGATGGGTAAATACATTCAAACCAATTAAAAAGGAAATCCTCACCTCATTTCCTTCAGCTAATACTCATTTAAAATATTCAATTAGCTCAAACCATTTCTACATTTATATGTTATTATGTAGTATATTAAAACATTTATAAAGCACTCAATCTAGGTGCTAAGTTAAAGTATCAAAATACTATTTTTACTAGGAAGGGTTATACAGTTTCAAAGCATAACAGTAATACAATGTTATCTTAAATACTGATGGCAAGGTTATGAACACAATTTTAAGCCTCAGCCTTTTTAACAAGTAATTTAATGTTCAAAAATTCAACCCATTTTCAAATGGTTACACTTCAGGAATAATCTCTGAATATTTATTTAATTTTTTAAATCCACTGCATGCTTGCCAATAATATTAGCAAAACAAACATTGTTTATGCCAGCCCCAATAAAGACATTGTGTTAACCTGTTGACAACCTTTGATAATCTGACACCAAGTTAATTATTCCAATTCCAGTAACTGCAAGGATGTTGCCAATGCCAGTATACACCCACAGCATATAAATTAGAGGGAGAGGAAGATGCTCTTCTCATTTCAAATCAGTTTCCCCAAAATTTGTTTCCTTGACTGACCCAAGGAAAAACCTACTTAGTTTGCAACAAGTTTTGGGGACAGGGGAAAAGACGAAGTTAATAGGAGAGTCACAAAAATCGAAGGTGCTGTAGGAATGTAGAAATACAGAAGAGGACTCTGGAAATAATTACAATTCAGCACTGAATTATAAAAAAAAAAAAGTTAATTATGCATTGTATTTACATTTTTATGAAAACTAAATTTGCCATTTTTATGAGTTACCTGTAATTTTCAAAAGAGTTGCTACATATTTTGTGTGTTCTACCTTTTTCTTAATTTATTGGTTAGGTTCATCTAGTAAGCAGACTAGTTACTGGTTGAGTTTTAATTTCTACCAGAAGTGTGGCCCAAACTGATCTAAACTAAGCACCTTGAACATTTATTGACTAGTCATGCTTACAACAAAAAAACAAACAGAGCCAGACAACCATTTCAGAGCTTTCAACAACAAGCTCTCAACTAAATTATGATGTTTGAAACTTGCTTCAAGCAGCAAAAGGGAAAATGCTACACTAAATTATGGTACATGATTAAGAAAACGTTTCTGAAATACATTAGAAGCAAAAGGAAGACCAAGGATAGAGTAGGCCCATTACTCAATGAAGAGGAAAAAAACAAACAGAAAGTGTGGAAATGCCAGAAGTGCTAAATGAGTTTCAGTTTTCGCCAAAAAGTTTAGTGGCAATTGGATATCTAACAACGAAAGCCAATGAAAATGAGAATCCCTGCGCAAATACTAATGTCTACCCAATGATGAAGATATCTGCTGATCTGTACGGCTCTATTCCTAAGAGACCCTCAGCCAACAGAGAGGAATGTGGTCCTACTGCTGCCAGGATCCACAGCCCCATGTTGGCAGTCCCTCTTCACCATGAGGCGGTACTGCCTCTAACCTCATCGCCAACAGGGTGGTAAGACCCCAGACAGAAGTTGCCGTGGTTGGTGGCAACATAGCCACACAGCTGGCAGGAGCTGCCAGTGCGGGGCACTGGCTCCCAGCAGTAATGGGAATCACATTCCTCCTAGAGGAGAGCCCTACAGATCAGTAGATACCAACGTGGGTACCCTAATGGAGCAAATAATGATGAAATCAACTTTCAAATACCTAGAAGCTAAGGTGATAAGAATCAGCACTGATTTGTCTAGAACAAATCATGTCAAAACAACCTGATAGCATTCTTTGACAGGGTAACAAGCCCAGAGTATGGGGAGAAGCAGTAGATGTGGTATATCTTCTTTTAGAAAGGCTTTTGATACTGTGACATGACTTTTTCAGAAAAAAAATTAGGGAAATATGACCTAGATTGAGCTACTCTATGGTGGGTGCATAACTGGTTGGAAAACTGTTCCTAGAGTTCAGTCAAGCTGAAAGGGTATAACAGGCGGGATCCCATAAAGATCAGTTCTGGGTTCAGTTCTGGCAATATCTTTAGTCAACGATTTAGATCAGGGCTACTCAAATTTGGAAGCCCCGGGGGCCACAATGATACTCACAGCACATGCTGAGGGCTGCAACTTAAGTGTTGTTGCATATACATGCAAATATATATGCAAATAGCTTCTGTCACACTGATGGGCATAAATACAAAGATTAAAGCATCACAATACACAGTCCCCATTTAAGTCAGTTCTGCTGATATTAATAAAATGCAATATTTACCCGATTCCCACCCATATGACATCACTTTTAATGAGCAATGAGAGTCCATGAATGTAACTACTAAAACATATAATCAACAGAAGACCATTCTATTGACTACTTTTTTTGTTTTGGCTCCCACCTACAGGCCACAAACAAATGAGCCGAGGGCCGCACGTGGCCCATCAGATGCGTGTTGAGTAGCCCCGATTTAGATACTGGCATGGAGAGTACACTAAAAGTTTGTAGTTGATACAAAGCTCGGAGGGATTGCAAATGCTTTGGAAGATAGGATTAAAATTCAAACAGGAAAATGGTCTGAAGTAAAGAGGATGAAATTCAATAAGGACAAGTGTGATGTACACCACTTAAGAAGGAACAATCATGCATGTATATAAAATGGGAAATGACTACCTAGGAATGAGTACCGTGGAAAGTGATCTCAGGGTCATAGTAACCACAAGCTAAAATATGAGTTAGTGTAATACTGCTCAAAAAAGCAAAATAAAAACACAAAACATCTTTCTGGGATGTATTAATGGGAGTGTTGCAACACAATAAGTAATTCTTCTACTCTACATTGATTAAGCCTCAACTAGGGATGTTAATTATCACATATCTGGGTATTTAGCTGCCATACCTTTACACACAGGGGGTCAGGCAGCTCCCCATGAGCACTGACTCCTGCCTCAGAGGCAGTAGTGGGGGGTGAGGAGGCTGTGCAGGAGCTGGTACATGCACGGAGGCAGCTTGAAAGCTGGCCTCCAATGTGTATTGGCTTCCACCTTCCCCCCGACTCCCTGCATTGCTGCCTCTCTATCAGAGGCAGGCAGGCTCTGTAGGAGCCTGCATGCACGAGGAGCTGGCTTAAAAGCTGGCTGCCCATGGGCACCAACTCCCACCATGCCCCCCCCTCTTGCTGCCACTGATACCGAGGCAGCAAAGAGCGGGATGTGTGTAACCGTTAGAATTAACCAATAAGCCTGGTTCATTTAATCTTTAGGGAAGTGTCCTGCAGCACATACTCAACATATGCCTGTATTTAATTTAAGGACTGGAAGAAAGCTCAAGAGGTCTTCTAGTCTAGTCCCCTGCACTTGAATCAGGGCTAGGTACTCTAGACCACCCAAACAGGTGTTTGTCTAACTTGCTCTGAAAAATCTCTAATGATGGAGATTCCAACACCTCCCTAGGCAATTTATCCCTAACATCCTGAGCCTCAACTGATGTACCATGTTCATTTCTGGCTGCCACATTTCAGAAATCATATGGACAAATAGGACAAAGTCTAGAGAAGAGCAGCAAAAATAATTCAAGGTCTAGAAAACAACCCAGGAGGGAAGACTGAAAGAAACTGTTTGTTTTGTCTGGAGAAGAGAAGACACAGGGAACATAACTGCTTTCAAGCACATAAAAGATGGTTAACAAGGAGGAGAGAGAAAAATTTATCCTGTCCTTGGAAGCCAAGGAGAACAAGTAGTAATAGGCTTAATTTACAATAAGGGCAGCATAGGTAGGGCATTAGGAAAAACTTACTGTCCGGGTAATTAATCAGTGGAATAAATGAATATTGCAAGAAGTAGTCACATTTTCACTACAGATATGATCTGATCAGTTTTCCCTCTTTTTAAAAAATGTATAGGATATTTGTGCCATGATAGAACAGAAGACTGGAGAAAATAATAAAATATTCCACTTATGATTAGTGCCCATTAATTTTTCATTCATCATAAAATAAAGTAAGCAGAAAACATACATCCATTATTGAGATTGTTAGCATTTATCACCACAACTGTAATAGAAATCTTAAGATAAATAAAAATCCAAGAAATTAAAAAAAATGAAGCCCTCATTTCTATTGAGAATGCACCAAAGTACCCCTCTGATACAAAGTACTATTGTAAATTTGATTAATTCTTCTGCCTACTAAGTGAAAAGTAGGGGGTTTATGCAAGGAACAGTGTAGAAAGAAAATATACATTTATTTGTAGATTTAGAAGATTCCAAAACTTTGTGCATCACTGAAAACTACATCAGGAAACTGATCTTATCAGTTAGGGCCCAGGAAAATTCATTAATGTACAATTGTAGATTCCATGCCCAGTGAAATATATTGGAAAAAACTGACTCTGTGGATGCTGAATCCAGCCATAAGACTTTGGCGTGCAAACAATTCTTTGCTATTAGGACATGACACAGAAAGGATGAAAATAATTTAATTATTCTACCCAGCAAGAGAATTGTTCCTACCAATTCTTAAAGCAGTACATTGTAACTAGAAGTTCTTAAGATAGCAACTCCTAAATGGACTTTGAGAGACTAGAACAATTCTAAAACTAATATAGTGACTTTAAGAAAAGACTGAGGTTTGAAACCTCACAGTATTAAAGGTGAACTGTGAACCAAATTAATTTTTTTGCACTATCATAATACAGGCAGTCCCCAACTTACGCGGATCCGACTTACGTCGGCTGAATCAGGACGCCTGGGGCAGAGCAGCTGGGGTGCTGCTGGGTTGCTCCAGTAGTGCCGAGGAGCCGCGCTACTGGAGCAACCCAGCAGCACCCCAGCTGCTCTGCCCCAGGCGTCCCCAAGTCAGCTGCTGCTGAAACTGACCAGCGGCTGACTACAGGAAGCCCGAGGCAGAGTTGCTCTGCCCCAGGCGTCCCCAAGTCAGCTGCTGCTGAAACTGACCAGCGGCTGACTACAGGAAGCCCGAGGCAGAGTTGCTCTGCCCCAGGCGTCCCCAAGTCAGCTGCTGCTGAAACTGACCAGCGGCTGACTACAGGAAGCCCGAGGCAGAGTTGCTCTGCCCCAGGCGTCCTGATTCAGCCGACGTAAGTCGGATCCGCGTAAGTTGGGGACTGCCTGTATATTAAAATGACTTCAAACTTTAAATTAGAGTCTCCTTTTTTAGTAATTAAATGTTTAACTATTTGACCCTTCAATTCTTCTCTTAGCTGATATCTCTGGCAAGGTCTTTGGAAGACCTAACCAGTGATGTTACATGGACTGTAACCTGAGCTGCAGCTCTTGCAGCCCCAACAAATGAGAGAGATGGAGACTGTTAACACTTGTTGGATCTAACAATCATGTCCACTCCTGTCAGTGGTATCTGTCTTTGTTGTTCATATTTTAGGGGACAACTGAGAACCTCATTGGAAAGGTACAGGAGAAAGTGCATTTTGTTGAAAGTTACAATACATATGAAACTTCTCTTAGACAGCTACAGTTTGTCTAAAAGTGCATGATTACGGTTCTTCTACTCAATTCTAAAAGACTTTTGTTACCTTCTGATTGCTCCTTTCGTCTTCATCTTCAGATGGATCTGAATGATGCTTTGGATTGTCCATCTGAAGAAATGCTCTGACATCTGGGCTAGAAATACAATTAAAACTATTAGGAAACAAGTAATCTAAATGAATTTGCTACACATTGCTACAGAATGAGAATTTCTTGCATAATAATACAAACTTACAGAGAATATGAATCTGATAATTAACAAAAACCCTACCAGCAAATTGGTTTTATGGGGAATTATAATGCAGGATGTTCACTCTGCCCACATCACAAGATACAGGTATAATACCCAGCTCATATAGACATATAGTTATGCTAACTCCCACCTGTGCCGACACACGAAAAACAGCATAGCTTGTTAGGATTGAAAGTTTATCCTTTTTATATTTGTATTTTTAGGTTTAATAATGTAGTAATGTAAGGTAACATATTATTACATTTAAATTAGTAAGATTTTTTTTTTTATAGATAGATAAAAGTTTAGTAAGTAAAGAGATAGGATCTTGTATTGTGTCTATGTCACTGAGATTAGAGGAGTGTTGAAGGCCCGAGCCTTCAGTGTGAATTGTTTTAATTACAAAATTTAGTAAGGCAATTTACGATGCTGTTTGCTTTTGTTTAATATAAAATTTTGCTGTTTGTAACTCTGTGAATGACTGTTTGTATGAATGAGATATGGTGTGAAGGTCATCGTTAGAGCCAGATGGTCAAGAGAGAAGGGGGAGAATGCAGGGTGAAGACAAACCGTAAAAGACAGACTGCGAAGAGACATATCGGTATCAGAAGAACCATCAGTGCGTACCCACGGTCAAGAATTGATCAGATTGGGAGACTGACATCTCTAAAGGTGAAGGCATCCCTACAAACAACTGATGAACAATCCAGGACAGGATGAGCCTCTTGGAGACGTTTTGGGAATGATTAACATCACCAAGACAACAGTAACTGGTCACAGACTGACACAGCAAAATCCAGAGACTTCAACAGAGAAAAGGATTGTAAAAGCAGGGTGCCTTGCTATGGAACTTTGGGTTCATCTTGCCACCAACTCTAGAGGAGCATCAGATCGATTGACAGACAAAGGCCCTGTTCCCCTCTGTGTTCAATCTAGCTGGCCACGAGATTGATACAGACTCTGGACTGGTAACTATGAAATCGTCTGGCAGGACTGTGTATGCATGGTGTTTGTGTGTGTGAGTGATTGAAAAGCATATGCAACTGTTGTATTCTCAATAAATGCGGCGTACTGCCTCTTCCCCTATAAAAGATCTTATGTGCTTAGTTTAAGCATAACAAGCTGAGGGTAGCTTGGGCAGTGGCAGTACAGGTTACAGGAGCTGAATATATATCCATAGGATTCAGGTGGGCTTGTACTCTGTACAGGTAGCTACACATGCTGTTGCAGTGATGTTATTTAGTGCATTAACCCAGATGAGAGAGAGCACAGGTATGTCTATGAACATAGGAACAGCCATAGTGGGTCAGATCAATTGTCCATGTAGCTTGAGTTTCCTCTCTGACAGTGATCAATGCCCCACAGGGAATGAACTGAAGAGAAAAACATCAAGTGATCTAACCCATGTCACTATGCCCAGCTTCTGGCAAACAGAAGCTATGGACTCTTCAGAGCATGGTTTTGCATCCCTGCTAATCTTGGCTAGTGGTCATTGATGGGCCTATACTCTATGAACTTAACTAGTTCTTTTTTTAACTCTGTTATAGGCTTCGGCCTTCACAACATCCTCTGGCAAAGAGTTCCACAGGATGACTCTGTGTTGTGTGAAGAAAATACTTTTGCTTGAAACATGCTGCCTATCAATTTCATTGGGTGGCCCCCTAGTTCTTGTGGTATGACTAAGCACTTCCTTACGTTCTTTCTCCATGCAAACAGAAAAACACTTAGCTCAGTGTAGACATAGCTTCTTTTTAGCTGAGCATGTACACCAACACATGCAGTACATTATTCAAATACTCGTTATCTAACATCCCTAGTTGTGTAACCACATGAAAACTTAGCAGTTATACAACTATTTGATAGTCCCTGAAGGCGGGGCTGGCAGCCAATGCGCTCCCAGCCCCACTCCTGGGGAGCCCCCTGCTACCCCACGCTGCTGCCTTTGCTACAGCGGCGGCAGCAGCACAGGGGGGCAGCAGCCCCTGTCCATGGGGGATTCAAGTTCCTCTGTCCATAGGGAGCTTGGACCCCCTGCAGATAGATGCTGCCTTGCAGCATCCTCCCCTGCCGCCTCTGATGGGGGCAGCAGCGTGTGTGTAAGGCATCACTAATTTCTGCACCTGCTCCCAAACAGAAAGCTCACATACTGGACTGTTCAGTTCAAAACCAGACACCTGGCAACCCTAGGTTTATTGGTTAAGAGTCTAGTCAACTACTTTTTGACATCCCTACAGTACATATAATTTTTTCATTTGCAATGACTTGCCATATTAAAATATAAATGAATGTGAAAAGACTGCAGGTGTTGTTCAGTGAAGACACTTAACTACATGAATGGAAACTAAGCTTTACACCTCCTCCACCAGCAGTAATTGTAATTGGTTGTTATCTTGTGCAATACTGCGGAAAACCAATTTCCTTTCTAACACCTTCAGTATAATGTGTCATGTTCAGTTATGTAAAATTAATGGGAATTTGTACCTTACAAATAATGTCAGTTTATTCTATATAACCTAAAACAGTGGTTCTCAACCAGGGTTTAGGGCTCCCTGGGAGCGCCACCAAGTAGGACCAGCATTAGCTTTCTGTCCTGGGCTACAGGAAGTCTAAAACAGTGTTCCCTAAACTGTGTTCCCAACACACTGGTGTGCCATGGAGAACAGAATTCAAAATGGCCACCCTTAAAGAGACAGGCAAACTCCCCCCTCCCCCCAGTAACTTTCCCCCTGACCCTTTGTCCCCCTGACCCTTTTTTTGGTGTTCCTCGGTCTTAAAAAGTTTAAGAAACAGTGGTCTAAAACCTCCTGCTTAGGGCTGAGTCCCAGTTCCCTGTCATTTGAGGCTGTAGCTTAGGGCTGAGTCCCAGTTCCCTGTCATTTGAGGCTGTAGCAGAAGCCTGAGAAACGTAGCTTCATGGTTCTCCCAATGGTGTGAAGCCCCAGACAACTGCCCTGCTTGCTACCTTCTAAGCTAGCCTTGGCTTTTATATGTGGAAAATCATTTGCTATGGCACAGGTGGACTGCTGTGTTTTTTATAGCATGTTGGGTGGGGAGTCAGAAAGAATAAAGTTAAGAACCCCTGTTCTAAAGCACATCCTGGATAAGTGGTATTATATACTTTATCCCCCCCTCCCCCGCCATGCATATGGGTAAAATCCTGTATTTTAACTGCATTTTTGGTGCTGGCAAATCTCTATGTAAAGAAATCCCTGCATTCAGTAGCAGACAAGGATTTCTGTCTTCTGAGACTGTCAAGTCAGATCCTATGCTCCTCTCAACATTCTGTACTTAACAGAGAGAGTCACATGTACATAGTGTTTAGTACATAGCGTTGAATACATGACATCTGCAGCAAGATCCCATCAGCACTTCCATTTAGTTCCCTCAGCCCTCTTAAATTTTACACCATTTTATACCACCCAGAAGTGTCATTGGCATTTCATACCAGACATGGAATGACAAAGTCCCCATTTGAAAGAATTTATCTTAATATGTCAATACCCCAATTACCTTTATTCTTTAAAACAACAACTGAAAGCCTGCTAAAAGGCATTGTAAGTTATTGATATTAACATTACCTAACCTATGTACCAATGCATAGCACACAACACATTCTTTTATGTCACAGTGAATCTATATTGTGCACTCATGAAATAACATGGAAGTTCAAAATTGCACCAAACTACTAGTTTGTGTTGATGACCAGAGGCTTAAGTTGACCCATGTTACAGTCACAAGACATTGTAACAATTCCAGAATTGTTACTGCATGTTATATATTAGTTGTGTCACAGTACCACCTTCAGCCCTTAAGCAAGACTGGAGCCCATTTATCTAGCTACTGTAAGTTTTACTGTATATTTGTACAATATATGAATTTGTAGACTTATGTTACAAAACAACTATACAAACTGCTCCTGTAGGCTCAAATAACTAAATTAACCAAAAGAATTAAATACTCAATTTAAAAAAGGAGGCACTAAATAAATTTAACATAATACACTAGCAGAATATCCCTCTGGATTTTAAAACAGGGTTAAGGTAACAATAACTGCAGAACCACTAGCATCAGAGAGTCATCTTTAGATGGAGAAGTCCCATGCATTATCTTCTGTGCTTGTTTTGCACCAAGCCTCCACCTAAATACCTTACATTAGCCACTGCCTTCTGTTAACTATTTGCCAAGTCCAATGCTTATAAAAAATGTTATGCAGAAAAAAAGATGTCTTTTATTGTCAGTGATGAGCTCCCACAGCTCAAAATAAATCCTTCTTGAATATGATGAACAGTGAAAAAGCAGGTAAGCTGACCTGTGGTATTTTAGAAAACATGAGCCTGAAGCAGTACGATTTAGCAGTGTAGGAGATGGACAGATCACAGCTATGTGAAAGCAGTAAAAACCCAAAGACTGGGATTCTATGATGTAGTGGTGTTAAATGTTTCTCACTTGATGCTGGAACCATGAGGCCCCAATGATTCAATTTCTTTTCTAGAATGCCTATTGTTCATGTCTCTCACTGCAGAAATTGGCAGTTTAATTCACACACAGAACACTGCCATCATGAAGTAACCTAGAGGTGGTATGATGTGTTCTAGTTTTCCTTAAGGATCTATTAGAATTATTTTTAAACTATGCTAAGCCTTTAATGCATTCTATTTTATGCACTTGGTTTTAAGCTGCTTCTTAAAAGAATGTTCAGATAGACAATTGCACGTATTATCTTTTCAGTAAAGGCCTACAGCTGAGGGGGAGGACAGCCCAATTTAAAGAGCTGCTCAATGGATTAGGGCTCTACTGTATGAACAGAAGAATTCCTTGCTTCCTATTCTAGATTAAGAATCAAGGCAGAAATATTAGTTCACATTCTCCATATTTTCTGAACCTTTATGTGAATTTGTATGAG